AATTAAGTGTTAAATTATAAAAATGTTTCCAAAAATTACTTTTACTGTTATTTAATTACCGATAGGCGATAAAAATATTATATTAAAATGTTTTTTTCTGTTTTTCCAAAAACACTTCGTTATAACTTCGTGTAAAAAAAAAAGCTAAGTTGAAAAAAAATAGTTTAGTAATGATTAAATCATTAAAAGACGTGATATAATATGGAAATTAAGTATATTATAATACCATTAATACCTATTATAATATTACAAACACCTATGATGACAAATAAGATCCAATTGTAATGTTAAATACTTAGTCAACATATTATTAATTACTGTAAATACTGTAGTGGTTATTTAATTGTATTTATTGAAATATACTTCTACGTCCTGCCAAATAGTTAAACATAATATGTTGACTAAGTATTATATCTATGGTATATATATGCCATATGGTATATATAGTTGTATATATCTATGGTTATAACGAAGTGTTTTTGGTGTGATATCAGCTAATTTTTTTATGAAATAAGTCGCGATTTTATTTGACTGTATGTAATAATAATAATAATCCATAATAGCATAATATGCACCGTTGGCCTCCTGTTGTTATATCTATTTTTCTATTCTATAGTTTTCTTTTTCTAAAACTATAGGTAATATAAAAGTTATATCGTTACATTTAACCCATATTTTATTATTATGTTTAATAACTGATGTGTAATGGGCTTGAGACTTGAGTCATGGATAGACCATGATGGCAAATCACAGAATTAAGAGAATATGATTTGCCATATTTTTTTTTACTTAGCTTCGCGCCACTACCGTCGCGCTGGATATTATTGACCTGCATATAACCACAATCGACAGTCGCTCGTTTTTATCGCTAGATGACGCTACCGTTACGGTTTTTTTATTTTCATATTTCTGGGGATATCTTTTTAACACTATTTAGATTTTACGACTTTGGGGTACGATTATAATTTATAAATTTACCAGTAACTGACTAATCGCTAATCAAATTCATATTAAATGTAAAGTAAACTGTACTAACTCTGGAGGAGGCTAAAGGTGAAATAACACTTTCTAAAAATTAATCCGCAGTGCGCCAGTCGGCCAGTGCTAATAGCCCGGATTGTATTTTGGACATTAATTAGAAAAATAATAGCGAGATGAAATTTCGGATTTGTAGGAATTATTTAATTTAATCTAGATCGGTTAATCCGCTCGGCCACTCCGTCCCACAATGTTATAATTTATAAAAAATTATTTTTACACTGCGTACTCTGTAGATAAGGCGAATAGTGGACGTTTATTAAAATAGGATGTTTGGTCACCCGGATTTTTTAGTAGGTAATTTAAAATTTATATTATTTTTCCAAAACTTGAATTGTCAGTATAAATGATGAAATATAAACATTTTGAAATATTATAACTACATAGTATAATTTTCATCAGTCATATTTAGTTTTTAAATAATATAAGTAAACTCCATGGCTAAATAACGTCTTATGACTCCCAGTGGGCCTATGTTCTATTTTAATAATTGACGGGGACGAGACGGGGACAAGTCTAAAGCATACCTGCGTCCTTTATACGACTGGCGGACATTTCCCCCCGGCTGTTTTATGTGTAGTGAGACATTTTCCCCCCTTACATTTTTGATGCAAACATTTCTCCCATTTTTTTTGTGTTCTTTATTTTTAATTATTTACCTTCGAATATTATAATTATTATTTTTAACACATTTTTTTTACCTTTTGTTCGTACTTTTTTTTTTTTTTTTTTTGTAAAAACTGTACGTTAACTAAAAAATCTTTAATCTTAATTTCAATAAAAAAATAATAAATAATATTTACAACAAGTTAAGTAAAAATATAGTTTTAACTTTTAAATAAAAGTAAAATAGTATAGTATACTAATATTGAATTAGATGGGTAGGTAACATTGAAATCTAAAATTGTGTCCAAAACCCAGTCAATTACTATGACTATTAACATAACATTCTTATACAGTTATACAATCTTACATCGTCATGAGCATTGAGTCAATATTTTAAAGACTTCTATATTTTAAAGACTATATGTATACAAAACAAAAAAATCTTGCCAATAACAAAATTAGATGGGTGTATGTGGAAAAAAAAAAAGAAAAATTGTAATGGTAGTGTAACAACTCCCTCCAGTCTTTTCGAAATAGAAACGTCAAATTTATCAAACGAATTCATTATATTTTGTTTATACAATCTTTTTTATTTTTATGTCGGATTTTTTGGCCAGCTGTATTGTACTATATTATATTATTTAGACAATCTTTTATTTAAAATTATATTTTTACCTAACTTGTTGTAAATAGGTATTATTTATTATTTTTATATTGAAATTAAGATTAAAGATTTTGTATATAACGTATAGTTCTTACAAAAATAAAAAAAAATTAATATGAACAAAAGCTAAAAAATACGTGTTAAAAATAATAATTTTATATTCGAAGGTAAATAATAAGGCAGCTTTATTTTGTAGGTACCTATGGTGCTTCTGCAATTTAAGTCGATGATTTGTATTTTTTCTGAAAATAATTAATTAATTAGTATATTCTAAACTAAAAAAAATGATATAGGTTATGATACTAAGTAGGTACATAATAATAATAATTTAATTTTTTTTTTAATAAATTATTTTAAATATTGTTATGTACCTATGTAATATAATATACCGGTCTTTTATACTCCGGAATTTTTAGGTTTAGGATTTATCTACGGCGGACTGTTTTACTTCAGACTTTTTTACAGCGATTCAATAGTACTACACTGCTACCACACCATACAATAGCAATATTACTTAGGTACCTACCTTATTGGTATACATTTAACATAGATAACTGTCAATTACCTAACTATACCCGCCTTTTTTTTTATTATTATTTTACAATCTATACCAGCAAGCCTAATAGGAGTATGAGCTTTATAAACTAAAAGAAAACTTGAACATTTGATTGAAGAAGCCACCCATTGATGTTACTTTTGAACTATTCCCTTTTAAATGAATTAAAGAACAAATTATCATATAAATGCATAGTGGTATGTATAGGTACTTAATATTATATACTGCCCAAATCAGAACATGTATATAAAAAAAAAATTGTGTTCAAATAGGTAATTGTAGGATACCTACCCCTTATAATATTGTGCACTTAAAAATAACAATAAAATGTACTATATTCCTTCTATCAATACCCACCCGCCCATATTGAAGGTTTTGCCTGAGCCCAGTGGCACCGAACTAAATATTTTAGGTATGGCAATGGCCAATGAACAATAACTTATACCTACCTACACCCATAGGGTATTATAACTATAAGCCTTATAAGTCTTGGGGGCAAATTATTAAACTAAAAAATATTTTCACAAGTTATACTATTTACTGCGTTATGTTTACATTATAGCATTATTTAATATTATAACACATTACAATTAGGTTTATCTCCAGAACAAGCCTCGTCAAAACCAAGTTATTATCATCTTAAAAGGATATTCAGTCACTGATTTAGTTATTTAAGCTTTTAGCTAGGTACATCACCATTTAGTAATAATTAGAACTATTATATTTTTTTCTGATACCCATGTTTATGAATTATTAATATTATTTGGTTAGTGGTATAATATCTTTTTTAAAACTGTACTATTTTTAAATTATTGCAATTTTAATGAATTTTATTAATTTTAACTTTACTCATATTAAAAAAAATGTATTGTGGATCTCGATTGTTCAACACTTCAATTTGACAGAGAGAAAAAATTATTTATCGACGATATTTTAAAAATAAATATTTTTAGCTCAAAAAGAGTCAATATATTTTGATGATCTTGTATGAAATATCTTGTAAGGAAAATGCTTAATATATATTATATAAAAATATAAAGTTTTTAAGGTTATTAATTTTTGAGTTACAACAGACAGTTTTGTGTAAAAATTACTTTTATTTATTAGTAAACTGTTTTTTATTTTTTTTCACGACGCTTTTGAAAAGAACTGCGAATTATTTTACATCATTTTACAACTGATACATGGGTTCGGCGCCACTGCTTGAGCCATACTTGGAACTCATGTTATACGCCACTGCCAAGCTGTGTTTTTATCGTTTCTAAACAGAAAGTTTTTTTTACTTATTTATAAACAAGTACTGCCCCCCCCCTGTTTACATAGTCTGCCTGTCCTATTTGGTCATTTAGGGAAAATGTGCACAAACACACTTAATATTTCAAAATAAAACCTCAAAAATAATAACAAATGCTTCATAAAAAAAACCTAAATATATACCAAGAACCGGAAATTAAAAAACTCCTAGACCACATTCAAATATTTACTGAAAGTTTCTTTAAGTCTATTCAAAGTCAACAGGTTCAATGTACTCTACTACAGTCTACAACTACAACACCGCCTAAGATGATGTCCTCATGACGAGCATAAGCAAGTAAGGCAAAATAAAAAAAATTTTTAAATAAAACACTTTCATAAATTTATTGTATTATTTTTAATCAGATTTTTAATGCATTATGTATGTATACTAATACTAATATATATAGGTACATAATATATTTTAATTATTATTATTATTTTTCAACTAACAATACTCAATGAATGCATAAGTAATGAGGGTATCACTTGCACATAATGACCAAATGTACGCATTTTTGTAACAAAATAATTAATTAAGAGTACTCGGTACTCAGCAAAACACATATGTCATAACAGTACGTTTCTTAGGATGTTGAAGTTGAACAGTTTAATTTATTGTGTATGGCGTAAAAACACAATTGCTCAATAGTATTATTCTAAGAATCACATATTAAATATATATAAATGTTGTAGTTTACTTATAACATTTAAGTCTATATTAAATATTTACAAATATAATTTGGATGTAACACATTAACTTAATTGCTTAACCAGAATAAAAATAATAGCTATTAACAGTCTTACAGTATTAACAAATACATTATTTAAATGTTACAATTTTTATGCAGTTTTTAGCCTTTTTGTATGATGTAATACTGGAGGAGTACCATTGTTCATATTTTGTTCAATTCTTTTTTGCTTATCAATCATTTTATTATAAAGAAAAATCATCAAATTAGTATTTTCCAAGCACACAAATGATTTAACTAAATTACTTAACGTTTCAAATGTATGTGACATCTCTGCATCCTCAATCTTTAAAATGATTTCATTACTAGCATCAATAGTATACTTATGAACAGAGTTACCTGTTAAAATCCACAATTGATTACCACATGCAGCCAAATCCAAAACATTGTTTTCAAATTGAATAGTTTTTAAATTTTTAATACTCCATTTGTTTTCTTTTTTCTCTGTTTTAATGAAATGTACTTCTTTAGAGTTATATAATTGAATAGCGGCTAAATCTTCAATTTCAATAACACTTTGAATTGCTGTTTGCAGAGTTAGTTTATCGAGTAGATCACCATTATCAAAGTCCCACAAACGCAGTGTACTGTCCCCAGAGCCAGATATGATAAAATTGTTCAATAAACAAATTCCACTAACATACGCCTCATGCCCCATCATGTAATGCACAATGTTCTTGCCATTTGGATAATGTGAGACACGTATTTTTTCATCGTTGTCGCACGTAACAATATACTTTTCATTATCACTAATACTTATATCAAGGATCATAGACGAATGACCCAGGATACGGACAGGGAGTTCTTCAAATGCATAAACATCACCTTTTTTATCACCGACAATAATTACATTGGTTTTGGGTGTGAAAACTATGTTTGTTGCATGTTTTGCAAGTGTTTTGTTTTCAACCAAAGTCCAGTCTATGGAATTCCAGATGCTCAGAAGTTTACCTTTGTTCGGGTTGTACGCAAACAGTTTGCCGTCAGCTGAAAACGCTGCACATGCTTTTTGCAAGTCACGATTGTTGATTGGAATGTTTTTATAAGCTTCGCCTAAACTTTCAGTGAGATTTTTCACATTGCCACTGTCTAATGAATATACAAAACATTTATCAACATCTATTGACGACACGACTACCGATTTTTCACTAACAGCCATACAAAACGTCATGTTATTAATATTATAAAATGTTTAAAATTTAATAAGTACAAATAAATATTATTATTCAATCACTAAGACACAGGTCACAATTTTTACTTTAAAGAATATTTACATTTTACAATATTTGATAGAAAATAGAAATTATATATTCAAAATGTAAATATTGTAAATAAGTAACTACTATTACAAAATGGGTAATGGGTACCTATAGTGTATACATAACCAAAAAAAAAGTATTTTTGAAATCGTTTTGTTGTAATTAAATATCGATATTCAGTGTTGCCTTTTATGATCGATAAAAAGTTTACTTTAAAATTTAAATTAACTTTAGAGTTCGGTTAATAAATTATAATTATTATTATTGAAATTGATTAATTAAACTTTGGTTTTCCTAAATTCCCAACACCATTATGGCATCGTTCAACAAACATTAAATTATTTATTAAAAAAGAAAATTATCGATAACGTCATTTTAAATAATTATATCGGATTCATCACAAAATCGGAATTGATAAGGACCATGCACATTGCACACGTGTTCGGTGCTATCTATTCTGTACCGGCAATATTGTGATATTGAGTGATAGTATTTTTATTCTGTGATTGCACCAATATATTATAGGAATCTGGAATATAGGATATTATTATTTAATATTTATTATTATAGGTACATTTTGAACGGCCATTTGGATATTTATTTTATTGTCTATTATTATAATATAAGATTGTTCGAGTGTCTGACGTCTTGTTTAAAACTGTAATTATTAAACTTGTAAATTGCCGTGCAAAAGTAGGTAGCGCTAAAAAGTGAACAACCACTAACTGCCAACAAGAAATAATCAGGCTACTACAGACCAAGCGGTGTTAATGTCATTGTACCAAAGTTCGATTCGTGTGTAAATCCATCTCAGAATGTCAGATTCGCCTAGGCCCAGAGGATTGAATACTTCGAGTGTTGGGAAGTCCTCACCGGCTCGTGGTAATTGCGGCGTACACTACCCTGCTGTGTAGTGTTCCATTTTATTATGTCTGAGAATGTGTTACAGAAGTGGATGTTCATGCCGGTCGGCCCGCACAAGGGCACAGCGGTAATCTGACTGGGAACCGTCGTATATTGAAAGACACCACAGCAGATATATTCAATCGTATGCAGCAATGGAAAATCTACCAAGACAGGGGATGTGTTGTGATATCAAATATATTCAATTTGCGAATGGAAACGTGAGAATAATTTATGTATTAAATATTCTGTAATTTAGTATATTTTTGAAATAAAAAAAAAATGTATTACATACCTACAATTGCCATAGGTCAAACATTAGATTTCCAGATCAGCTTGAAGGTTTAGTGAAGGAACTAAAAAAACTTTGTGAGGAAATGGTAAGTAAAAAATAGGAAATCAATATAAATAAAATAAAATTAACATTTTAGTATTTGGTGTTTTTTCTAGAATGATATTGTTGAAGGGCTCAAAATTAAACTAAAGAATCTTACAGCTGTATCAGTTTTAGAAAAAGGCAATTCAACACCACTTTTCATATCATGGACAACAGAACATTTTTGTATGATTAAAAATAACAAAATGTTTATTTTAAACACATAATTAACATTAATATTTTTTCTACAGGTAAAGTAACTGAGAAAATATTAAGAGCTTATCAAAGAGAACAGAAACTACATCAAAGTCTTCTATTGAGAATAGCAGATAACACGGATCCTGATATTCTGTTATTTTATCTTTCATGTTGGACATATCAACCATATTTAGATCATAGCATAGAAAAAGAATTACATTGTATGATTAAAGAGACTAGACATGTATGAGTTAGTTTAACAATAAATTAAGCTAAAAATAAGTTAAGAGTTATAAAAAAGATATGAATTTATATTAATAAAACTATATTCTAATTTAATAACAAAAGGTTTTACAAGTCAAAAATACTTGGAGTACTCTCCTGAGCACATTTTCCTACAGATTGAATAAACTTAACAAAACCAGTATCTTTTGGTTTCTCCAAACCTCTTAATAAGCGGTTTTTCATAACAGCAACAAATTCTCTATTGCTTAATTGGCCATCAACTATAAATTCAAAATAAAAGTTAATAACACAAATAGTTTTAAATTTTTATAGATACTAGCAATGTAAAATATTAACTTACGGTTTTCATCAAATATTGTGAAAATTACATTGATCAAGTGGTCATTTAAGTCAACATGAGCTACAGTTTTTGCCACATGTTTTAAAGTGGCTATAAAAAAAACAATAATAAATCACTTATTAGTATTTACATAATAATTATTAATTGTTAATTATAAAAAGTGAAATAAACCTTGATCAATTGATGCTCCTGCAATATGATAAAACGTAAGAGCCGTATCTACATCATTAATATTATTCAAAAAGTGAAAAAAATTTAAGTAGTCTTCTTCGCTAATGCCACGAGTATTTTCTTTAAATCTGAAATCATTACAATTATTAATCATTCAATATACTACATCGTTTGTTTTTGTAAAATAATAAATCTATTATCCAATCAGTTTGATAGAATTTGGGATTAATTAATAAAAATAATTTTAAATTTGAATACAATTTACAATATATCTCCATGAACCTTCTGTGTTTGGCCCAATACATTGACACAACCATATTTTATTTATTTTAGATGAATTAATAATAATTATTTTAGGTGGCATATGAAATAATTTACTTTATAAGCACTTACACTTTTTTCACTCTCTTAATTATGCGTGCTTTCTTTTTCGGAGCATATCCAGCATATGCTAAAAGTAGATCAGTAAATTCTACTTCTGTTATGGTTCCATCATCACTGGGGCCTTTTCGTTGAAACTAAATTTAATTGTTTAGTGTTAAATACATAATTTAGGGCTGTATTCATAGTCCATGCTTAAGAATAAGTATTGCTCTCAAATGAGATTCACAAACGAGATTTTGGATTAAGAAAAGAAAAAGTATTACTCAAATTAAGGTTGATTGAGACCTATCTTAAGCATTGCTTTTAGTTAATACCACAATTTTTTTTTTTTTAATTATCTAAATTAGCTTAAGCAATACTTATTCTTTAGTTCGACTATGAATACAACTCTTAATGTTTTAAATTATAAATTACCTCTAAACCTAAAATTTCTGTCTGCAATTGTTGTTGAAAATCAAGGAATTTCTCTATAGTTAGTTTTTCATCAAGATTTTCACCAAAAAAATATGTTGTTAATGCTGAATTGACTCCCTATGATTTTTACACAAGTAAAATATGAGAAATGTAATTACAATTTTATAAGATTTATTTACCTTAAAAGTATTGCCTGTATTTGCATGATCTCTATGACGACTTCCGATACTTGTCTGATGTCGGATTAGGGTAGCAACCTTTTCAAATTCTTCACAGTCTACATCACCATCACCGTTTAAATCAAACATTCTGAATGCAATTTCAAAATGTCTTTTTGATGCTAAAATTAGATTTTAAATAATACTATTAATCAATTATAGTAACAATAAATTAATGAAATGTATTTTATTGATACACATACTTGACAGTACAGTTAATAAAAATATATAGTCTGAAAAAGTTATCAGACCAGAACTTCCAAGTTTGTAGAATATACTGTCTTCATTTAGTGCCAATTCTAATCTCATGTGTGTATTCTAGAAAATCAGATAAATACTGTTGATAACAATTAAAGATCATTGAAACATTTTAATTATCTATAATACAAATTGAAATGTTTAATTAATATTGTACTTTTGGGTCATATTTTTTATATTGATCAAGACCAAGTCCATCCGGCTGTTTGATTCCAGGTGTCATAGAACGTAGGAAATCATCTGGTGTCATAAATACTTCATGAGTTTCTAGTCCATTAGAGTGCATATGTGTTACTTGTAAGGTAGCAAAATATCTAAAAACCTTGTCTGGCGTTGAAAAGTGACGTATCCTGTTCTCGTATTCTATAATCTGAAATAAAATCAATTTATTATTATTATTATTATTAATTGATTTGTCATTAAAACACCTAAGACCTTTCGATCTCGAAATCCAACTATTTGTTTAGGTTTTTTTTTTTTTTTGTCTATAACTGCTTCTATGATTTCTTCTTCTGGGTTTTCATCAGTAGTATCAACATGGCTGTCAGCATCTACAGGAGGAAATACTACCTCAATAACTCTGAAAAATATGTAAAATCATTAGTAAATATATTGTTCCTAACAGATCAATTAAATATATTATAAAATTAATATTATCAATGTATATACATGTAGGTACAAGTAAAAGTAATATATTATAGAATGGGGACAGCTTATATTTGTAATGAATACGGCATATTTTTATAGTAAGGGGTATGGATACCGACAGTATCTAAGGATTTCAATATAGGCAATTTTCTTTAGTGTGAGTGACTGTGTATATAATAAATAGCAGAGCGCTTCCGTATTTGTCAGTAAAGCAGCATTTTACACACTAATTAAAAATGCAAATTTTAGTGAAACACTGAAACTTAGTTTCGTATTTCCAATAATATAGCTTACTCAGTGACATTACAGTATGAACACCTATTTTACAAATTGAAGATGGAAAGTTAATCTGGGCTTGTATAGGAGTCGATTTTCTATATTTTATATTCAATGTCCAATATTTAACTCTAAAACTTGTGATATTTCATTTTTACACTTAAATTATTAAATTTAGTGATTCAAATATTGAAAATTGACTTTTATACAGGCATAGGTTAACTTCTTTTCTACGGTATTGATAATAGGTGTATTTGCTCTCAAACCACTCAATGAACCATATTGTTGGAAGTACAAAAATACATTTTCTTATAATTTTTCAACCTTATTCATACCCCTTAAAATAACTCAAACACTAAATGAGCAACATAAATTTACTTACTTGTCCCAATTAATAAATTGATAAATTATAAGGCTTATAAAAGCCAAAATGTAACATTTTTTTAAAGGATGTTCTGGAGGATCTCTCCTATGACCAAAGTTCTTATAAGTACGTCGATGATCAAATTTAGCAACAGGTAAAACCGCTAACATGTTAAATGTTCCATGGTTTTTAAACAAGGTTTGTCTTGAATGTAACCCGTAACCCAAAATTGGGCGTAGTTTTGTAAGCCACATATCTGAAAAAAAAAATTATTAAGTTAATTTTTAAACTTGTTTTAAGTAGGGTCTTGTCATTAATAAAACCTATACTTCGTTTCAGATTTAATATCAGATGAAGATTAAATTAAGCAATTTTAAATATGATTGTGTCTCCTAAATCCTAATGACAATGTTTTTACAAATTATACCTCAATATAAATTTAGATGATTTAAAAAATAAATTTGAGTCTATAAACTGTATCCTACAAGGAAGTATTTTTAATATTTTCTATGGGTGATATTATGCATTTATAAAATAGTTTTTAGGGTAGGTATCTCGTATCTATAATTTAATTTTGTTTCTTATGTATTACTGTATAGTATTTATACTGTTTAGTAATAGTGATATAATTTAAATATACAATAGCAAATTAGTTTTAAATTTTAATAACTTTTCTTCTAATTCATAATTTCTTTAAAATTGAACTATGGAAGATAATATGAACAAAATATTGGAATAGCATATTGTTTTCTAAAAAAAATTGTTTAAATAAATGTGTGATAATTGATAAGATAATGGAATTTTCTGAATACTTTTGAGATCATGTACGTGTTGATAGTCCAACTAAAATATCTAGGTTCAGGTGTTGATATAGCACATAGGCCTAATAATATAATATAATTTTTTGTAAATACCTAATATATACCTAATAATTTAATAAATTAGTTACATAACATTGCTCGCTTAAAATATATTATCAATTATTGAATATTCTGTAACATAGTTAAGGACTAAAATAATATGTAAACAATTCATTTGGAATGGGCTTTATATATTTCCCAAATCATCTTTTTTATTAAAGATGAAAATAATAATACATAAAACATTATTTAATTAGTTTTCTAATGTTGATCTGATCTCTGATAAATAAATAATAGGCTTGACGATAACAAATAATTTTGAACAGAATTAAAGAACTAAAGGTTATCATTCATTATTGTTTTCCAATGTATTCATTTGAGCCATCTACGTAAAATATTACATCTTGCAAACTAAATTTAATAGCCGATGCTGAGTCAAATGTCAATCAAACCTATAATAATATACAGTTGTACGGGGGGGGGGAAATGTCATCATATTTTGTATAGACAATCAGGGCATACAATTCCGCGAAGATTGTACTATCGATATCAATATATTTTAGTTCATACACAAAGATTCTTAAATAATTGATCGGACTTCGGATTTTCGCCCACATATGTAAATACTCATCGACAATTATTTAGATGGTCAGTAGACTGTCACTGTGTATCAGACCACATTATTACCTGATTATTCTCTAATTCGTGGACTCAACCGATTGGACGGATCATGGCATTGCACGGTTCATTGGATGTTGCGTTCCTCGATTCAATCCGGTCGAATGACAATATTAATTACCAAGTAATAATCACTGGCCCCAATTGGGTAATCGGCGGACGATTTATTTATTATTAAATATTAATTAATTATGATTCACGAGCCGCGCAGAATGCAGATATAGAATTACACTGATAAAAAACGGCTGACGTAAGGAAATACGACTGATAGCGTTTGTGACCTTTTTTTTGTTTTCTCCTTTTCTCGCGTACGAGTATCGATTTTTAAAATTTTCGGTTCGCCACCTAAGAAGCCAGCAGCTGCGCGTGGACCCGCCTGAGCCACACTTCTTTGCGCATGTCCGTTACAATCAGCACCCGTACACTCTTATCAGCTCGTTCGGCGTTTTGGCATTAGAGTATCGGGCGCAACGAGTTGATGGTCGTAGCTGCTTATTCGTGTCGTGCGCGCGGAAAAAAAAAAAAACACACTAACGGAAGAAGAAAATTGATTTTTTCATCGCCGGCCTTGTACTTAACGAATACATCGCGGCTCACGACCACTTTAACAATACCCTACATGATACATGTTTACCGGAATGCGTAATTCAACATGGGGCTTCCGGCCGAAAATAGCTCACTGTCAAGAGGTGAGTACCTATACCCACCCAGTTCTTTAATTTATAACTAAAGTCTGCGTTCGACAGACTGCAGAGGTGAAAGCTCGCATTTTATCGGCCTCTACGCATTGTAAAAGATTTTTTCCTCATTTTTATCCTGATTATTGACCGCTTGATTGCAATGTGTCTCTCTGAAATATTCGTCATCTTTCTAATATGTATTGTATTCAGCCCAAAATTTGGTTCACACTAGCAAGTACCTATCCGCCATAAGCAACAGTAATCAATTTGAGTAGCATTCGAAAACCCAACACATTTGGTCACCTTAATCACTACAAAGTGAAAGTAAAATACCTATGTCTGTCTTCCACATTTATGCTTACAGAGCAATGTTACTGATTTCAACATTTTCAAAGTGTGTATAGGTACCTATACATTTTTAAAACTAAATTGACAAGTTACTTGGTCAACAAATTGTTCAAAGGTAATAATAAGGCTATGAAAAGAATAATAGGGGTGTGTCCAAATATTCTGATAATTGCTGTGGTGTTGGTAAATTATTATAATTTTATTGTAATCTGATAATTTTTTTTTTACAGGCTCACAATGGTTATCTAAAGCGAGCAACCACAGAACAACTATTGGAAGTCTTCAACAAAGTAATTTTTCCTAGAGTAGATTAACTTATAGGATAAAACATAATATTAGACTTAAGAATTTATTTTATTTTTCAGTATGCTACTGTCGAGAAGCAAGGCGAGAAATACATCAACTCTGTAGATTTCTTAAAAAATTACATCGGCATATTAAATGAACCGTCTAGTGACTTGGATTCTTTGCGACTGTTGAGTGGGATCGTTGATACAAACAAAGATGGGTTAGTATGTAAAAATAATTCTTAAAAAAAAAAAAAATTAGGTTACCCTAATTTATTTACTAATGTATTTTAGACATGCAAATTAATTGATATTATGCCTAGAATATTGCACATTTACAAATGAGTCTTTATTATATTATATTTTTTTACTGTAGCATTAACCTAAACAGTTGTTTGTTGTTACATATAACTATGTAAGTTATCAGTGTTTGATTTTTATTTGTCATTAATAAAGTTAGTTTAGTATTATGCTTTGTCATTACACTTACTGATGTGTATTAAAATGTTTGTTTTAAAAATTATATCCATAACATATTCAATTATTGACTAATACAATATTAAATTACATGTGAACATTAAACATATTCTATGATTATTTGGTCTTATTTCAAACAATTAAAAATATTATCCAAGCATGATGTTTTAAGGTTACTTGTTATACACCATTTATAATAGCATCATCAAATAAATTAGTTAAAGTAGTGGTTCTATCCAATATGTAAACGCAGTTCATATTTTATTATAGCAACTAAACACAATACAGTCAAATTTTAATAACTCAAACCTCAAGGAGGATAAAAATGAATTAGCTTTATGTATTTTTCAATTTGCATAACCTTCAAAAACAACTGGAATCACTGTTTTAAGGGACAAGAAAAACATTTGAGTTATTGATATTTGACTGTATATACTCTGTTCAGTGAGAGAACTTGCCGATTTTGGGCAACCCTCACCTACACTTTGTCATAGTGGAACTGGTTTCTACAGCTAGGTGTTAAGCAGGGATGTGCAAAATAACTGAAAAACATTGGATCATGGCACGTTCTCTTGCTGGACCGAGGATGGGTATTTCTTGGTTAAAATTAAAATTATTGGGTAGGTAATGTAAGTAATTTAGTTTTATTATATAAATTTAAATTATTTATTCACAGTTTAATGAAATTAAAATTTTAAAATAATAAAAAAAAAATGTTTTGTGTTGTATAAAATTACAATTTATTCCTTAGACTCATTTCATTCGCGGAATTTCAAGCATTTGAAAGTTTACTGTCTGAACCAGATGCTTTATATAAAGTTGCATTTCACTTGTTTGATATAAATGGCAACGGAGAGATTTCCTATGGTATTAAAATATTTGTATACAAACTATCTATGAATACAATAATAATTTTTTTTATTTCCAGATGAATTTGTATTAGTTATTAAAAAAACTGAACTGTACTTAAAAATACCTTTCAATTTGGATAGTCAATTTATGAAATTGTATTTTGGAGAGAAGAAAAATCGGCTTATTAACTACTCAGAATTCGCTCAATTTTTACATGTATAAACATTTTTAAATTATTTTTACATTGGTAAGTAATAAAAATTAAATAAAAATTTTTGCCTTAGGATTTTCATGAAGAATGTGGAACTGAAATTTTTCGTATTTTTGATAAATCCGGTTCTGGTTTTATATCTGCCAATGATTTTCAAGAAATAATGCTTATGTCCAAAAGCCATTTATTAACTAGTGGTGTCCGAGATAACTTATTACCAGTAATTTAATTTAAAATCTTTAAATTGTTTAATATAGTTTAACATATTAATTAATATTATTTTTTTAATTTATAGGCTGCAGGAGGAGGTCAAGGAGTACATCGTGTTAGTTTTCCATATTTTATGGCTTTTATATCACTTTTAAACAACATGGAACTTGTCAAGCGTATTTATTTAAATGCCAGTAATGAAAATCGGAATCGAGAAGTTACTAAAGGTTTTTAACTTGGATTTTGCGTGATTCAAAATTTTTATCAAAACAATTATTGTTCCTTATAATGTATCGTATTTTTGTTTTTCAGATGAATTTTTGTATTCTACTCAAGTTATGTCTCAAATTACTCCATTAGAAGTTGATATATTATTTACCCTATGCCATCTATTACATCAAAGAGCTGGGTAATCAAATTATACTACATAATATTATGTAAGCATATTTTATAATCCTATATTTTTTTAGCAAGATTATTTATAATGACTTACAATCAATAACACCAGAACAGTACTATAAAGAAATACATAATCGTAGAATAGCTGAAATCCATGCAGTATCTGTAAGTATGGTTAAAAGGTTAATATTTCTAACCATTGTCTAAATTACTGTATCATTATTTCAGAGTCCATCTGATAGAGGAGTTTTCATTCAAGTATTGGAGAGCTTGTACCGATTCACCCTGGGCTCAATATCTGGAGGTATTATTATTTTGTTATATTTCACTATTCCAGTAACATGTTGATGGCATGTTTGGCACTGTATAAATGTAATGATGTATCCAATTTAAGTATGGGCACACAAACATATAGGTATGAGTGATACCAGCCGCTCCACAACGTTCTAAATCCTTCCGTTCATTATCATTTTTTATTTCTTTGTATACTTGATGAGCTATTCCGTATAATTCGCCTAAAATTAACTAGTTAACTAGGTACTATAAAGTATTCAAACTATGTATAAGCCATTCTAATATTAACATTATACCTTGACATATCAGTGGACCACCAGAGTCGCCGTCACATAATCCTTTTCCTTTATCTTGTTGTAAGCAAATGATTTTTCTCCTCTCCCAATCTTGAAGACCTGGACATGCTTTAGCAGACATTGAAGAAAATACCTTTAGTTTGTGTAAGAGTGTATTTTGTCGGCCTGGTGGTGTATCAACTTCTCCCCAACCTATAGCTGTACATGGTATGTAATCATCTATTGGAAGCCCTTTATCTGATACATGAATGGTATTAACAGCTATAGTCATACGAAATGGTTTGACTCGAATGATAGCTAAGTCATCATTTGCAACTCGTTTTACCTTAATAATATACCAAACCTATTTTATTATTGTTTTATATTTACATGAATAATTTTACTGACTCTATAATTTGGGTGTATGTGAACTTCTGTTCCGTGTCTGACTTGTGAATTATTTGTTCGTTCAATATAATTTACTATGCCAGCTACTACTTTGACATCGCTAGGTCTTATACCTAATATATAATTAATGGAAAAACAGTGAGCTGCCGTCAAAACCCATTCTTCTGATACAATTGCTCCGGAACATGACATAGTCTTATGGTATATGACTGTCATAAAAGGAAATTCAAAATTCTGTGCTACTTCTCCACCTGCCAAACAAGCTTGTTGTCTACTAAGTGGTTGATTACGATAACAAACTACAGAAACTATTAATAATATTTTACTAACAATCAAATGTTCAAAATTCATCTTGTTAAGTCAAAATTAAATAATATAATATACATTTCAAAATATAAAGTTTGATTCACATTATCTAATATTTAATAATAGACAATAAAACCATAACAACAATGTTTAATTAAAAACCAAAGAAGTGTACATGTTTTTATTTTAGCTATTGGTGCCACAGCAGTATATCCAATTGATTTGGTTAAAACTAGGATGCAAAATCAAAGAGCTGGTTCATTTATTGGTGAACTCATGTACAGAAATAGTTTTGACTGTTTTAAAAAAGTGAGTTATAGTTTTTATAACCTTTTTTTTTTTTTAAAACATAAATTTAATGTTGTGTAAAAATATATATTACTTATATTTTGTTAAAAATACTATATATTTTTAGGTTATAAGACATGAAGGAATTTTTGGACTTTATCGAGGTCTATTACCTCAGCTGATAGGTGTTGCTCCTGAAAAAGCAGCAAAGCTCACAGTTAATGATTTAGTGCGAGATAAATTACGTCAAGAAAATGGAGATTTGGCTGTCTCTTCAGAAATTATTGCTGGTGCTTGTGTTAGTATATTTTTAACTATATTAATTATTAATTTAAATTATATAGCATATTTTTATATTAATATTACTTTCAGGCAGGATTTTCACAAGTTATATTTACCAACCCATTAGAAATAGTAAAAATTCGTTTACAAGTTGCTGGTGAAATAGCATCTACTAAAAAATTAAGTGCTATTACTGTAATTAAAGAATTAGGTTTCTTTGGTTTGTATAAGGTAATACATTGTATTATAACTAGTGTGGAATTGGTAAAAATGTATTGTAATAAATTTTACTTTATTATTTAGGGAGCTAAAGCTTGTTTCCTACGAGACATACCTTTCAGTGCTATTTACTTTCCAGCATACAATCATGTAAAACAGGCTTTTGCTGATGAAAAAGGTTATAATCATCCATTATCACTGTTAGCTGCTGGTTGTATTGCTGGTGTTCCAGCTGCATCATTAGTGACACCTGCAGATGTTATAAAAACTCGGCTGCAAGTTGTGGCACGAAAGGGCCAAACTACTTATAATGGTTTGGTGGATTGTGCTATGAAAATTTACAATGAAGAAGGACCTAGGGCATTTTGGAAAGGAACAGGCGGTAATTATAATATTAAAGTTAAAATAACACATTTAAGTTATATTTAAATCAAAAAATTTATTTGGTTTAGCTCGTGTATTCCGCTCTTCGCCACAATTTGGAGTGACACTTTTGTCTTATGAAATTCTACAAAGATTGTTTTATGTAGATTTTGGAGGATCGTAAGTAGTAAAAGATAAACAAATTAAACTATAAACACTTACAATGTATGTACCTACTAAATGTTTTAAAATATTTTTTTTTTAATTTTTTATTTTTTAGCCGCCCATCTGGTTCAGAAAAATTAGTTTCAGTACAAGGTGCTGGTGATGGAATAACCCCTTCAAATCCAGATCATATTGGAGGTTATCATGCAGTGCTTCCAATATTAGAAGGAATAGAGTCTAAATTTGGTCTTGTATTTCCTAAAATTAAATCAGAAAAATAATCATATCATACAGGCTGTTACACATACATTCTGAACATTTAATAATAATTGTTTTTTGTGATATTAATATTTTTATCTCCATACAATTTATTGTATTTCAATTCATCAACTCAAATACTCGATTATATATTTATATATGAAAACACACTTACACGCAAACACAAACTATGTAAATTATTCCTGTTTCCTTTTTACATTATCCTATTTTATTTTTTGTATGTCGAATACGGATTAATACAATAATGCTCTTATTTATTGTACACCAATAAAATTATTTTTTTAAACCAATTCAAATTTCAATGTATTAATTCTAGAATTTATAAAAAAGAAAAGAGAGTACCTTATTGAATATTTTAATATAACATTATATTATATTTTAGTTATTAGTTTTTTGGAAATTTGATTTTGAGGTATAAATTATAATCATCGATTTATTTTATTTAATGTTTAAACGGCTTAACAGTCCTGAACACATATATAGTTGACATCTAATATCTCTATAATACCTCTAAATATCTTTATGTATGAGCAACTAATATTAAATATTGGATTTTCATTTTCATTTTTATTCATATATTATTTTATAATTTATTACATTTATTTTAAAACTGAAAGATATACTGTCGCTTATGGATATTACGGAATGAGGAAATAATGAGGTATGTACGATTTTCATGAAATATTTCGACTTCTGATGAAAATATCCTTTTATTGCGATTGCCAGTACCGGATCTACAAATTATTTAACCCGGGGCACAACATAATATTACAGCCCATACCTATGCTATTCGTTTTATGACTTTATGAGTTTAAAATTTGAAATTTGAGCCCCTCTATGATTAGCTCCAGGGGAATGGGCCCCGGATCGTCTCTCCCCTCCCCCTAGATCCGCTACTGGCCATTGCATTATCGCTGTGCTGTACTAGTGTATTAGTTTCAGTTTTCATACCAGACCCGCACTGTTTACGTATTTATTTGATTTATTTATTTTTTCACAAATTCAAACATGACTTGATACTTTCGTTAAAACGTTATACTTTTAATAAGTTGATCATTTCTGTACCTACGAGTTTTGTTCAATAAAAATTCGTGCTGTCGTTTTCGTCTTGCAGTGTTTTTTTTTTCAATCCAAATTACAACTTTACTAAACAATGAACCAAAACTATTTAGGTATACTCCGTCATTGTCAAATGTATTATATTATGCTAATATGTTTGACGGTGTAATATTATTACGTGTTTATGCCGTTTCTCAATCTTAGGTTAAAAGGAAGCACCTTCTGTAATCTGCATAGACCTTATACTATTACTCTATGGTAATCTGTACGTAGGTACTACGTTGATATCTACGTCCTACATAATATATACCTACCTAGTACTTCCTTATATATTAAATAGTAGAGAGAAAACCCATTTTACTGAGTACTGACAACTGCGTCTGATTACAAGTGTCATTACCATAATTGTCGATCGTAGAAAGGGGGGGGGTGAACAAATACCCTTAAAATAATTCCTATGCCTCACAAACACATTTTTTGTAGACTTTTGTCTGTTATAGAGTCTGCAGAGGATTTTTGTCTCGGGCCTGACCAGTCTCATCCTGGAAATGTAAACATTCAACATTTTATTTTATCAAAAGTGTTTAATTTCTACCAAACAATACTGATCGAAACTAAAATTAAAATAAATCTTCGCCTACACTATTTTAGGTAGGTGACAATGAACAGAATAGGTTAAAAAAATATAAGAATAATGAATAATTGGAACAGAAGAATCATGAATATTATATTAGTATAATATTATAATATACAAGTACCTACCTACTTAAAACGGTAATGAGGGGCGACGGTCGACGAACCATCAGAATATTCAGAATGGTATAAAGTAGACTATTTTGAGTTATTTTTTCTACCATGGTTACGAAATTAATCAGTAATATTTTGGATTCTGAGCAGAGCAATGAATGTATTGATTTTACAATGTAGGTATGTATGTCAAAACCAACTTACATTAAAAAGAAGATTTTGTATTAGTAAATTGGTTTTAGTCAAAAATAATTAACTGCAGACTTAGATTTTTCACAAAATATTTATGTTAACATTTTATAGACTATAATTTATCTATAATTTTCAAAATATTTTAGAACTATTTTTAAACAATCGAAATTGTTGAATTTTTAGTTTTTTTTTATTTATCCATGATTAAATATTTGCTTATGAGTAAAAGAGATTTACAATTTAATACAAGGTAGGTTCCTCTCAAATTGTTCTTTCCGCAAAAAAAAATCAAAATATATTTTTTTTTTAGTTTATGTTACTCATATAAATATTGATAAATATTTGTATCCCCGCGGTCGAACAACATAAACATTTAAAGCAGGATTCCTCATAAGTTCTGTATAATATAGTCTATAGGTATATATACAGCACAATTTTTCTTGACAAATTTAATTATTTAAACATAAATTAGCGATATTAGTTAGTTTATGTATCGTCCCTATTCCAAAAAATAATATTCGTAGGAATTAGACATTTTTTGGCACTACGTACACTATTTAGTACCTATAAACAATGCAGTTTTCTAAAATCCAAATTAATTTTAAACTATTTATGCGATGAACCTATTCATACCGTCTTACCAATCAGCGGTACATCGTTATTGACATATTTTGACTTGTAAGTTGAGATTGGCTAATAATATAATAGGTACCTAATTATTATAGGTATCATTATTATTTAGGTATTATAATAACATCAATATAATATCGTCGCCTAAGAACCATCATGGCCAATCTCAAAAAATTCAAATATATGTTTTATACATCTATAGATTCGTATTTTCGAGACGCATAAGACCAAGTGATTAGTTTCGATGTTTGTCTAATAGGTTTGCTATAAATATTCTAAAAGTCATCATGACCTATCTAAAATTGTTTTTATCAGTGGTATATCATGGCCTATCTAAAATTTTTATTAGCAGTATCATAGGTGGGATCATGGCCTATCTAAAATTGTTATCAAAAAAAAAAATTGTTATCATGGCCAATCTAAAAATATCGGAACTGCCACTATTAATAGAGAGCCGTCAGCAGCCAAAAACTCGATGAAATCAGTATTACTAATATTATTATTATTATTGACAATAAGATGAAACTTTTTAGAGTTATTTAATGTCAAAAGGTCTACCAACATTCAAAATTCCTAACAAAAAAACAGTTTTTTGTTCACCCTGAAAAGTTGGGAAAACTGAGATTGGCCATGATGGTTCTTAGGCGACGATATATGATTTTAGATTCTGAGTGAAACGATGAATGTATTGATTTTACAATGATGTGTGTTTTTTTTTTTATTTTTTTTTTTATTTTATTTTTTATTTTTATATTTATTTTTTTTGTGTCTGTGTACACGATAAGTAGTCGAAATAATGCTTCGATTTTCGACTTCAGTATCTTGTTCGATTGGAAAGTGAATATCGTTGGTGCATTGGGGAGGTCAAAATTTAAATTTCCCAGTAGTTTTCAAGAGCGCCGGGAAAAACAAAAGAAAAATTAAGGAAAAACGGGAATTTTTACGCAAAATCGATTTTTCAGAAAATTGAATTTGGTTTTTGGTGTAACTTTAAAACAAATGACCGTAGGTACATGCAATTTTCACTGGTTGTTTATATTTGCATCTTCTATACACGATAACATTTTCAAAATATTTTGATTTATTTTGAACAGTTTAGGGACATTTTCATTTTTAGTTTTTTTTTAGTTTTTTTTCTAGAAATATCAATAAAATTTTATTTGTTGGTTGCGAAAGCTTGAAAATTTAATAGAAGGCTCCTAATATATTGTTTCAAGGGCAGATGAAAAATATTAAAATTCCTTAGTCACAATTTTTTTTTATAAGCATTTAAAGTTCAAAAATTGACAAAATATGGAAAAATCACGAAAATTAGCAAATTATTTTGAGTTAAGAATTCGTAAAAATTTTTCTTTTTAAATCTAAGATTTGAAAATCTAATACAAGATTACTCATAAAATTGTCTACCTTTATCAATAAAAAAATCTCTACCGGAAAGTCAAATTAAATTTTTATGAGCGTTTGAAATTCAAATTTTTACAACATTGGATATTCACTCGATTTCTCATGTGGCAATTTCCTTTTTTTGTTGTAATTAAAAAACGAATTACTGTAGATACATGAAAATTTCACTGAATGTTTATATTAGCATTTCCTATACACCATACAATTTTGAAAATATTTTGACTCTTTTTGAGCCGTTTACGGACATTTTCAGTTTTCAATTTTTTTAGTTTTTTTTTTCTATAAATATTAATTAAGTTTTATCTGTTGGGCCAAAAAGTGTAAAAATTTAATACAAGGCTCCTGATATATTGTTACAATATCAGTTGAAAAATATTAAAAATACATAGGCACAATTTTTTTTTATAAGCATTTTAACATCGAATTTTGACAGAATTTTTCAAAATCTCGAAAATTATTAATCATCGTAATTAATAAATTATAAAATGTTCAGTTTTTATAGCTAAGGATTGAAAATTTAAAACAAGATTCCACGTAAGTAGTTAATTCTCTTACCGAAAAATCTAAAAAATATACAATCACAGTTTATTTTTATAGTCATTTTATGTTCAAATTTTGACGAAATTACATATTAAAAAACCTAGTTATTTTGTTGTGATTATATAATATTATTCGTGGGTACCTACTTGAAACTTCTAAAGTGTACTATTATATATATATGATAGTATCAGGGTTTGTTGTTGGTGTATAACGTGTTATTAGTACCTAATGGATATTGTGATAATGTGATATGATTAATTTGGAATTTATTATAGGTCAATTTTTTTTTAATACCATAGATATGTATATAATTTGTCTTAACCTAGACTGACATACCGTCTTCGCTCAGAATCGTTTTTTCTTATACAATGATATTGTATCATTGAATTCAAATTTAATAGCATCAATTATACAGTGACCCACTTGTAAC